ATTACTCATTATTGATATTTTTGGCCAGGAGCATAACTCGCAAAGTATACGTTTGTTCAAAATGGAACTTTGCATACAATTATATCATGAATTGAGCCACTTTGTCTTAGAAGTTAGGCTGTTTCCGCTTCATAGTTCAAAACAAGGAACAGGTTTTGGAAATTCAAAATTTTCAATTTTTGACCCCGACCTTTATTTACCTTGACCTTTGTAGGATCAAACGTCATTGGCATTGGCTATCTATTTATACTTTTATATTTGGTGTCCTGTGTCAACTTCCGGTTTTATAGTCATGTGCAATTAGAAATTTTGATGACGTATATCTCTTGATCTTGACCTTTTTAGACCTTCTCCTTTACAAGATCAAAGGTCATTGACCTTGGCTATCTGCTGATATTAGAATCTTCTAAAAAATGAAAATTTCTCAACTTTACATTGTTCTTGCACTTGATCTAATTATCGTCCAAGGTTGATTTTTTCAGGGTCTTTGCAATTTGCTACATTTGCAAAGTCCCACTCTGTGCCACATGTGGCTCTAGTTATACTTGATTTCTTTCCAATTATATTTAACACTATTAATTTTAACAATACCTTTTTCTAGATAAAAATAAAGAAATTAAGACTAGAATAAATCCAACAGGGAAAAATATAAATAAAACTACTCACTTTTGTATGTTGAAGAAAAGTACCATCACCTTCATAAAATTCAGGTATTAACTCTTTAAAATCTGAAGCTCCAACCAAACAATTAATCCATGCATCTTGCATACTGTAATAATATCAGTTTTTGAAATATTAAAACAGAACCTTAAATATGTTGCTACTCAGAGATTCAAACTGAGCGATCTTAACCCTTTGAACCCTGATGTTATGTAATGTCATGGTAGTTTATTCCCTGATATTTGTTTAAACTGATTGCAATAACAATTTTTTTTGCTTCAATGCATTTCAGTAAGGTCCCCAGAATGACAAACTAAAAGTCTGAAAAATGCATATATTGGAAGTTTGTCTTATCTACATACATCCAAAGTGGGCCACCAATTCCAATAGTTTTCTCCAAGAGATTTAGTTAACTCATTGTAATAACATTAGAAATGGAAACTTTGCGAGTTATAACAATTGCAAATATTTAAGGTACAACGCCGACTGTGATAAGTGATAAATATATACATTCTTCAGAAAGTGATTAAACCCACAAAATTAGATCTACTAGTTATTACAATGGATACAGACAAAAATTTGTTATGTCTGTTATGATGTGTAGAATGTTAAGTAATGTTAAAAATTTCAAGTGTTTACAATCATTAGATCATGAGATATACATAGTTACATAGATTTGCAGTGACTGTCGGTAGATTGTAGATACAGTGAATTTACGCACAGTTACTATAGAAGTAAATACAAAATTTTCAAATTCTAAAAAGCGCAATTTTAATTAAAATACCAAGTTTTATATATAATTTGAAATAATAGATTATGTGACAGAGCTTTTCAAAGTTAAAGATTGTGAACCAGATCTGATTTATCTCGTAAGGGGCAACAGCTTTTGTTCAGGTCACAAGGTCACCAAAGATCAAAGTCACTTGATACGAGCCTTAATAGTTTTGACAATTACTGAAAACATAAAACGGGAATATAAAAGACGCAAAGCCAAAATTCAAAAATCGGCTCCAACAGCTTTTTTCGCAATCGATTGCAGTTTACATAAACATCAGATTTACACGTCACATCCAATTTACTCTGTCGCCCCAATTTGAGTTTCATAAAAATTAGTCATATCAAGATGGCGTCTTACCCAATACTTCAGGGTCAAATTTATTCAAAATCTTTACAGGGACAATTATAACTAATTGCAAAAAGAATTTTTCAAATATCTACAAAATTACGGAAGTTGAAATTTCAAGTTTGGAGGCGAATGACGTCAAAACCGGATGTGATATCTAAATTTTGAGAGCAGATTTTTGTTCGCAATCAAAATGTCAATCTACAAAAAAAATTGTGGAAGTTTAAAAAATGCTCCAAAAGTCAGCGACAAAAGTCAAAATTTGAAAATTCTTAAAATTGCTATTTTTTAGACATTAGTTCAAAGTAATGAACAAAACAAAAATTATGATCAAAATAGATTCAGAATTACAGAAGGTATTAGAAAGACATTAGGTAGTGAAAAGACGCACTGATTTGATAACAATGGGTAGTAAAAAGTATATTTCCATAATCGCTGTAAAACTGATAATAAACACTGCACAATACAAATGAAGATATATTTGAATAGATCAGGTCGAGCATAATAACTTTTGTTCTGGTCAAAAGGTCAAATAAAAGTAATATGAGACTTTGAAGTTTCGAAAATATCAATATTACGAAGAAAACGAAGAAGAGGTGGAAATAAAAGATATCATAAATAACTATATCGAAGGAAAGAATCCAACGAATATAAAAGTTTTTCTTGAAAATGTTACTAATTGTCTAATATTGATAGTAAACGAAAGAACTTAATATTGTTTGACGACTGCGTTGCGCAAAGAAATCAAGCTGTTCAACAAGAATTCTTCACGAAGGGAAGACATCACAACTGTCACTGCATATACCAATCTCAATCTTTTTACGGGATGGATTCTATGTTTATTAGAAAAAATGCAAATTGTTTTTTATTATTTGAATTAAACGATAAAGATCAAATCATTCAGTCGATAAATCACGGGATGGACAGAGATACATTTATATGTAAAGCTCAATGGAGAAACCCAGATGAACATGGATATGTATTTGTAAATACTAGAAAACCAGCGGGTGAAAGAGTAATGATCGACATATGTTAATTTCATTTTTTTAAAAATGAGTGACGATTGGAATAATATTTTAAAAAGAAATAAAAGATAGCTTGCGTTGCAAGGTAACATACGCCCAATGGCAGCTGTCAGAAATAATAAAACAGTCTTTAGTGACTAAAGTATGAATTTTCTCATATTGAAGAAATTATTTATGCTGAATAATTCCACAAAATTTTTAAAAATCAATATCAATAACCCAAATACAACAAACAATTAAATCACACAGCTCTAATCAAGGGCAAAAAACAACTTTTGACGCGTCTTTACAAAGTCAAGGGCAATAACTCAAAAACCTTTCATCGAAAATGCGTCAAGTTAGAACTTGTCCGAGATCTTATCAATTCCAATGATCACACCAAGTTTCATCAGAATCGGTTGAAAACTGTAGCTTCAATCCTGCTCACGAACTATTTTTAACAAATTTCAAGGCGTTCCAAGTCAAGTGCAATATCTCAAAAACTGTTCATTGAAAATATGTCAAATTCGAACTTGACCGAGATCTTATCAATCTAAAGCATCACACCAAGTTTTATCAAAATCAGATAAAAACTGTAGTCTCTATAGTGCTCACAAGAAATGTTGACGGACGGACCGACGGAACGACGGAGAGGGGCGACGACAATATACGACCACATATTCATGTGGGCGTATAAAAATATATCAAAGCTAAGAATAAAATAAAGACCCAAGTTGAAAATAACAGATTACAACAACTCGGATTAACGGAAAATCTACAAACTCTATTTCAACCCATATTAAAATCTCAAGAGGATATTAAAAAGAGACTCATCCCTCCTATAGAACCCACACCTCCTATAGAACCTCATCACCCCAAAGCGATTGAATATGATGGTATTATAATTAGGACATTAGATGATATAAATCGTCTTATTTCAAACCCGAAAGCGGATTTACCAAAGAGTATTACACCAATCATTGATGATGAGGGGTTATTGTTTAATGGATTTAGAATTAAATTTAGGGCAAATTCCCCTATATTCAAAATCGATACAAAAGACTTAATATTTACATTAACGAAAGGATTAATAGATTTAATGAATGGCGGGTATATTGGCATTGCCGAATACAAGGATTTACTAGCAAAATTTCTACATGCAATAAGAAAGTCGGGAACCGAAACAAAAAGATCGAAAGCAGTTGAAATATATTTAAATAAAGTTATACCCGATGAAGAGGAATCAGATGATTATGCAGAAGACTATACACCAATCATACAAGAAATAGACGAATTTGATGATATGGGGGTATCTGGAGAAGGTATAACGTTTTTATCCGATAATAATGAAGAATTGCTTAATAGATTACGAGTAATATTAGCGGCAATGAAGGAAGGACATCGATCGCACAGACAATATAATGAAGTGAATTGTATATTGAAAAGACTCCTAGAAAAAGGTATCATAGATAAAAAATGATTATAAAAGCATGATTAAAAATGTCAAGTAAAGAACTACTATTCGTTATCACCTCAAATAAATCAGACACTAAATTATCTCTAGATTATGAGTACGAACTCGATCGCAATCAAGAATATGAATTGGGATTACAGTATTTCTCTGTTTACAATTCCATTAGAACTATCAACAAAGATAATAACCAAATAAAAATATCAACAGATAACGGAGTTACGTTCAAAACCATACGTTTACTACAAGGAAGCTACATAGCCATTAACGAATACCTATTTGAATATGGAGGAAGTGTCAATGGTAAAAACAATATTGAATTCGAAGGTAATTTGAATCTGAACAAAATAAAATTGATATTAAGAAATAATAGTCAAGTTGATTTCAACGTAGAAAATTCATTGAATACGTTACTAGGATTTGATAAACCAGTATACACCTAATCCACTTTAGCACCATACAAAGCTAATATCGAGAATGATATCGATGTGATAAATATACATTGCAATTTGAAAAACGGTGGATTTTTCAATAAATACAAACGTCAGATTATATACAGTCTTCCAACATTCACTGTACCTATAGGATATAGATTTATAGAGAAACCATTTCAAACGACGTATTTACCACTTAATTCCTTTAAGATTAAAGATATAAATCTGGAAATCAAAGATGGTAAAAATAGGTTTATAGATTTTGGTAACGAGGAAATTGTTATTCAACATCATTTAAAACAAAAAAATTAACACTCTTCATTCTCTTCTTGAATAGTTAGATAATCGTAATCATCAAATTCGTAGTTTTCATCCATGTTCAATTCTTTTCCGTCGTTGTAAGGATACATGATTCCTTCATTGTCCGGAGCTTTTCTCTTAACGAGATTTAGATAACTTCTAAAAACTTTCTTTTGTTTATCATCATCCTTTGGAATAACTACTCCATTGATGAATCTTTTTACCCATGGTTTCTTAAATTCATTCGTTACATCGTGACCATTAGCTAATCGAATATAAACGTCTACGGTTATCTTATCTTTAGAGTAACCCTTAAACGTTTTTATTTCTTTTAGAACACCATCGGAAGTTAGAATGATATTGTATTTAATTTTTGGCGCTAAATATAAACCAAATATAATTCCACCATCACCTTAATCATTCTATCCTTTACAATAATCATTTTCGGACACCAACCCAGCTTCATTTAATTTATCCCAATTACTAGACGAAATGTATAGTATATTTCAGGCTTATAAAATCCATCTATCACGCGAATAAAATTATTCATAATTTTTTTACTGTGAGATAAAACGAATGATCCCAAATGACTAGGTGTTAGTCGTGAAGACTTAGGATGTGTACAGTCAAATTTTTTTTCTTCATCATTAATTTCAACTATATATTGACCATCATTTACTTTTTCATAGTTTATAACGGTGAATCGAAGTTGGCTTTTAAAGTCACTTCACTCCATAGATGTCTCGATGTAGTTATATCCTTTTGAATAGATTTACCATACAATGAATTACGTAATATTTCCATGCAATTACTACCTACGATATTACCTTCTCGTTAATATTTATTTCTTAGATCTCTCAAAATTAAAATATAATCTCTATAGGGTGAAGTTTTAAAATTTTCTTCGTAAATTATACCATCTAATATTTTAATAAGTCGTCCGCCAGCTTTCACTATTTCTTGAATATCGACTGATGTTAAAACGTCGCGAGAGAAACCATTTCTGAACCTGATTTTGTTACCAGTTTCCTTTTTACCTATTCTATTCCTGAAAGTGATTTTATCTTTAGCTGGTATGGGTTGGAAGAACATGTTGGTATGATATTCAAACCAGACTTTTAAAATAGCAGTTCTAGGTCTGAATTTCTGCTCATTAAAGAGCTTAACAAATTCTTTATTTTCTTCTTGTCGAAATGGTCTACCACATTCCGCTCTCGGATATTCGCTGTCTAAATCCGACATGGCAGAAGCGTACAAACCATTAGCATCAAAGGCCATTAGTTTAGTACATTTTATTTTTTTTAGTCTCGAATGAACCTCCGCTTTATCTTTTGTGCTAGCGCTGTATTCTTTGAATAAATCAATTATATTATCACTTGCTGTTTCTGTGTATTCCTTTAATATATTACAAATTTCATCCATTTTATTAGTTTCAAATGATTTTCTATTTGCCGAAACTTTTCCTCCTTTAATACTTTGTCTGATAAAATATCTTATAAAAGGATGAGTAAACTTTTTCTACATTTTCTTTTTCGGTGTGTTTCGGAACCATTCTAGTACTTTCATACCATTCTTCTTCAACCATTTCTTTATCGTAATGATACAAATAATACCAACCCTTAAAAGATAAAGATGGAGCCGCTAGATTATTGGACATATTTTGGTTCACAACTTCTTTCGTGACTTGGTTATATTTTATCAAACAACTTCCAAGACATAACGTATCTCTTTTAGCGTAAGGTTCCCATTCGTGTCTTAAAGATTCCCAGTTATCTTTTGTGTATTTTGTTATATCGATATCAGTGATCTTTCTCAAATTCATTGGTAGATTAGATGAATTTCCCCATGCCGCCAAACTAGATGTTTCATGTTAATAGGAACATGTGAAATTAATATGATGTAAATAATTATTATTACTTATTTTTTCTGTAAATCTTCATCTGTGTATGGATTAGATAAAGGTAAAGATAGAATTCCTCTGGGTGTTTTTAAAGGGCATTGTGTTAGTTTTTTTATATTTTTAAACACGATCCAGTTATCAAAATTGCTACATTTATGAGAAATTAATATTAATTCTATCATATTGACCTAAATATTTCAACATTTGATCTATACAATATGTACCTACAAATATTTCAACTATATTCATTAGTTTATCATAAAATTCTTGTGGAACATTATTTGTAGGATTTAAATCTGGAAAGAGATTATTTATTTTGTCTAACATTTTTTCTTAGTTTTCTAAATTAATTAACGTACACGCATAAGGAATTGCTTCACACGTTTCACTTTCTGACTACGTTTCACTATCCCAAGCAAATAACCCAGCATCACTTATACTTGAAAACATGTTTAGTTTCAGAGGTGAAACCTGTGTTACTGCGTTATCGTCTCTACACGTTTTCCATACTTGTTCATAATTATCTTCTATTTCTTTAATACCCAAACTTTTTTTATTTCTTCTTATAAGACAGAAATGTGAGTTGTGTAAATATAAAACCCAATCTAATTCCTCTTTTACAATTGTGGGGCGCAAATTTCTATCAATATGAGTATAAATTTGAAATGAAATATCACATTTCTTATTGAATTCATTAACTCTAGCAGATGTCATCACTCCTTTTCTATTTGCTTTTGAGAAACCATTGATGAAATTTTGAAATTCATTTGTTAAATCTTTGTTTAAAACATAGTTTACACATTTGATAAAACAGTTACCATCTGTTGGTATCTTCTATTTCTTTAATACCCAAACTTTTTTTATTTCTTCTCATAAGACAGAAATGTGAGTTGTGTAAATATAAAACCCAATCTAATTCCTCTTTTACAATTGTGGGGCGCAAATTTCTATCATTATGAGTATAAATTTGAAATGAAATATCACATTTCTTATTGAATTCATTAACTCTAGCAGATGTCATCACTCCTTTTCTATTTGCTTTTGAGAAACCATTGATGAAATTTTGAAATTCATTTGTTAAATCTTTGTTTAAAACATAGTTTACACATTTGATAAAACAGTTACCATCTGTTGGTATTTTCACCTATATATTCATTTATTTTTTTGGGTAGTTCAGTTCCTCTTCCAACTTTTGATCTTTTAATTTATTTAAAATTGTCTTTAAGTAAAAAGATACTTCCTGTAAAGTACCAATCAGAAGGGTCAGATTTTTCTTCCATATTTCTAAAGATGGTATGAAAAGTTTTGGCATTAAAACCAAGAAGTTTCATAAATTGTTTGTGCTTTCCATCTTGAAATATCTCTCCATCTATTTCAACTTGTCCTTTAACTGTTAAAAATTTATTGGAAACAGCCTTGATAATATTTGAAAATAACACGTTTTCTATGAATGTTTCATCATCATTAATTTCAATTGATTCATTCATATTTTTTATATGTGCTTTTTTAATGATCTATTTCTAAATATTTTGTTTAACTTTTATTGTTGATATTTCCATCTCAAATTTTTCTAGAATTTCATTGAATTCTTCTAATTCTTCAATGGTTATGTTCTTATCTTCTCTTGATCTTTCGAAAAATATAAATATTTAAGATGGGCATTTAAGATTTCTGTTTTGATGTATAACCTATAGCAATCAACCCACAAGATGAAGTTTGAATAGCAGTAATTGTGGCTAATACAGTTGGGACAAGTACTGGAACCATTAATCCACCAGTTACAGCCGTTGCAACTGTTGTTCCTACTGTTAGAAGTACACTCAGTGTTTTGAAAACAGAATCAACTCTAATCCATCTTTTCTTACATTTATTATATTGTTCTAGTTTTACTTTTAACTAGTTTTGTTTGTCTATCATATATTGTTGTCTACTTTTGAGTTCCATTTTTAAGACATTCAATTAAGTGAATTTCTGATAAAGAAAAAGATCGATATTGTTCAATATTTACAATAGGGAACCCTTTAATCTCTATACCTTCTCCTATCATTTTTCGTTTATCTGTTATCATTACTTCGGGTGTATAAATAGTAACTATTACAGATGCTAATGATATTTCTTCTTTCGAATCATTAATCTTATTTTGATGAACTGTAAATTTATTTTTTTTCAATATTAATCTCTATACTACATCTACAAGTATATATACCACCAACTTCTTTATTACTATCTCCTTCATGACGTGCAATTATTGATGAAAATATTATAAATTCTTTATCTTGTTGACTTTTGTGAATATCAATTGAGGTAAAAAAATCAGGATAATATTTTTGTACATTGAGTGAAAAACTAGTATTAACAAAATATAGTTTTACATATTCAAAGTCTAATGTTCTTGAAAACGTATAACTCTTTATTGTGTGTGGTTTTTGTGCAGTTGGATTTCTAATAATGTTCATCGATGGTGAGCTTTCTGTCTTTAATATCATATCAAAATCACCTATTGAAAGAATATCTTTGTCATTGTCTGGTATTATTGACAATCTAAAGGTGTTTATATATTTTCCATTTGTTTTAATTTCATACATATGATTAGGCTTGTTGTTTTCATCATTATTTTCAAAATCTTTATTTATGTGGCTATATTTTTTTCCTGTTTTAAAACTTCGTTATTAATAGTAGTTATCTGTTCTTGAATCTCACTATCATAAATGTTTTGTATCAGTTGATTAATATTTGTTAGTTCTTTTTTTAATTCAGTTTTAAATTAAGTTGCTAGAGCAGTTGATTCCTGTTGCCACGTGTCTTCACTTATACCTGGTTTAATATTATCTATTAATTGTTTAAGATCTATTTTTTGCTTTGTGACCTTATCATTTAAATTAGATATTAATGATTTTAAATTTTGAAATTGAGTTTTATCTACTACATTTAGAAGTTGTTGTTTAATAGCATCTATTTGACTATTATCATTGAGTTTGGTTTCTAATTCAGTTAATTTTTCTTCACTTATACCTGGTTTAATATTATCTATTAGTTGTTTAAATTCTATTTTTTGTTTTGTAATCTTATCTAAATTAGATAATAATGAACTTAAACTTTCTAACTGAGTTTTATCTACTAGATTGTCTAATCGTTCTTTAATAGCATCTATTTCACTATTATCATTGAGTTTGGTTTCTAATGCGGCTAATTCATCTTCATTCATACCTTGAATAATATTATCTATTTTTTGTATTATCTTATCATCTAATTTAGATATTAATGATTTTAAATTTTCTAATTGAGTTTTATCTACTAAATTGAGTAATTGTTTTTGAATAGCATCTATTTCACTATTATCATTGAGTTTGGTTTCTAATTCAGTTAATTTTTCTTCACTTATACCTGGTTTAATATTATCTATTAGTTGTTTAAGTTCTATTTTTTGTTTTGTAATCTTATCTAAATTAGATAATAATGAACTTAAACTTTCTAACTGAGTTTTATCTACTAGATTGTCTAATCGTTCTTTAATAGCATCTATTTCACTATTATCATTGAGTTTGGTTTCTAATGCGGCTAATTCATCTTCATTCATACCTTGAATAATATTATCTATTTTTTGTATTATCTTATCATCTAATTTAGATATTAATGATTTTAAATTTTCTAATTGAGTTTTATCTACTAAATTGAGTAATTGTTTTTGAATAGCATCTATTTCACTATTATCATTGAGTTTGGTTTCTAATTCAGTTAATTTTTCTTCACTTATACCTGGTTTAATATTATCTATTAGTTGTTTAAGTTCTATTTTTTGTTTTGTAATCTTATCTAAATTAGATAATAATGAACTTAAACTTTCTAACTGAGTTTTATCTACTAGATTGTCTAATCGTTCTTTAATAGCATCTATTTCACTATTATCATTGAGTTTGGTTTCTAATGCGGCTAATTCATCTTCATTCATACCTTGAATAATATTATCTATTTTTTGTATTATCTTATCATCTAATTTAGATATTAATGATTTTAAATTTTCTAATTGAGTTTTATCTACTAAATTGAGTAATTGTTTTTGAATTAGTTGTTTAAGGTCTATTTTTAGTTTTGTTATCTTATCATCTAATTTAGATATTAATAATTGTAAATTTTCTAATTGAGTTTTATCTACTACATTAAGTAATTGTTGTTTAATACCAACCATTTGTTTTTGTATTTCACTATTATCAATAAGTTTAGTTTCTAATGTTATTAATTTATCTTCACTTATACCTGGATTAATATTGGCTATTAGTTGTTTAAGATCTATTTTTTGTTTTGTAATCTTATCATCTAAATTAGATATTAATGAACTTAAAGGTTGTAATTGAGTTTTATCTACTACATTAAGTAATTGTTCTTCAATAAAACTTTTCAAACTTGTTACTTCTTGTTGTAACTTATATCATCAATAAAATCTTTATTATTTATTTGTCGTTTGAAGTATCTTTTCACATCGCCTATTCTTTCTTTTAAATGTTCTTTATTTACTTCAATTAAATTTAATTGATCCATTAAATATTTCTTGTGAACAGCATCATTATGATTTTCTGGTAACTTTAAATTAGTTCTGGAAAAATTATTCATATCTAAATCACCTTGAAGTGTGTCTCCAATTTGTTCCACAAAATAAGGTTTTGCTTTATTTATCCATGCTGTTGTGATAGGTTTTTTAGTATCTAAAGGTAAAGAACCTAATCCAAATTTATTCGCCATTTTTATTAAGTTAAATTTATTATAATTTCTTCAAATTGTTTTCCTTAACTCAACTGATATAAAACCCAAAGTGAAAGTTGACCACAAAATTTTTGACCCGGTAATTGAAATTGAAATGTTGAACATTTGATTACTTTTACTAATTGCATTATCTCTTCAGTTGGTTCTAATCCAAAAGAATCGAGGAAATAAAAGTTATTTAAAGAGTCTTTGTATAAAGCAGAGTGATGAACTCCTTTTTGATCGGAAGTGTATATTTGTTATCACATAAAATTTACCTTTCTTATCCTTGAGAATATTTATTTCATCTCTCATACAATAATAAAACGGAGATATATTTAACTCATTCGCCCATCTCATAAGTTGAAAGTTTGTAGTGGTATCGGTTCCGTATTTATCGAGAAAGATATTCATTTTAAAAGTCAGTTTTTTGAAGTTCGTTTTGATAGAACCTACCTATGATTTGTTCTTTGTCTTGATCGATTAATTCATATGTTGGAGGTGATGTGCTGTTTACTTTATCTACGATAAATATTCCGTTTGTCCAAAATCCAACGTAGCCTTTTTCGAATTTGCTTTTATATTTGAAAATACGAACGCGATCTCCGACTTTAAATTTGGGTTTGATATTTAAATTATTCATTTCATTTTCGTAGTTATGTTTTGCATTAATTGACTTTATAATATTTGGATTATTTGAGGCTTGTGTTGGTGTGACACCTATAGATGAATGAATTGTGTCATTGTATTCATCTACAACCTCTGGTAATATGTTAAGCCATTTTTGGGATTTCAATTCCGTGAACTTTTTGAATAATTTATTATTAAGAGTCCTGTTAAATCTTTCTATTACTACAGCTTTACCTTCGTTATGAGTACTGTAAATTTCAAATCCTAGGGATTTCATATTTTTGTTATAAAATTCACTTCCTTTATCTACCCATAACTTTTGAGGTCGTCTGTTGGATTGTTTCATTATTGTTTCAAATGAGTGTTTGACTGATAATCCTGTTTTGTTTTTGAGAGGAATAACCCAAGTATATCTTGTGTACAAATCTATAACTGTTAATTAATATTTATATCCTCTTTCGACTGGCATATTAATTAAATCTGCTGACCATATTTCATCTTTATCAAACACTTTGACTTGTGTTTGTTTTTTCTAAATTCTTTGTGTATTTCATCTGCTATTCCCATACCCATTTTCATCTTTGCTTTCAAGAGTTTAATGATTAATGTTCTTTGAATTCTCTCTTTAAAAGTTAGATTTGGAATATTTTCAAGTTCGATTATCATTTGTTTGTCTGCTTCGTGTCTGGATGTTATGTCTCTATTTCTGTATAGTATGTCGTGTTTAAGTGCTGCTGCATCAACTCTATTAACAGGTTCTTCACCTGGTTTGGGTTTATCGTTTTGGTCTAATCGCAGATCTAACCTTGTACCTGGACCAGTTTAATCATGACCGGGAAGATGTTTTTCTCCGGGGTATTTTGCCCAAGGAAATCCGGGAAGAGAACCTAATGATTTTTGAATGTCGGAACCGAAATAAGTTTTAGGAGTTTGAGCAATTATCATTGACATTTGTATCCAATAATTTTAAAACCTTTTCCTTTTCTTTTTTGTTGTTCTATTCTCCTGTTTCGTAGTTCTCTTATTTGCTGTAATTCTTTCAATTCATCAGACTTTTTCACAGCATCGTTTTTTTGAATTCCTTGCTTTTGCTACAGATCCAAGAGCTTGCGTTCCAGAAGAAATAAGGGATTTGTTGTTTGAGACAAAGTTGGCTACTTTTGGGATAAGAGATGATAGAGCTGAGAAGAATCCGTTTCCTTCGAATTTGTGTTGTTCGTGTTTTAAAATTAAACTCATTCTGTTTTTAAATGAGTTAATTTGAAGATATTATTGGCCTGGGGCGCTTGGGGGTTGGTAAACTTTTTAGGCTCTGGATTTATTAACTGGGTGCCTGGTGAGGTTGTTTGTTTGGTGGCCTTGCGGGCGCTGCAAGCAAAAGAGTAGTATAAGA